GAAAATTTTTTTAAAAAAAAAAAAAATGTTGTTTTGTAAAATTTTATTACCATTTTGTTTTTAAAAAAAAAAAAAAAAAAAAAAAAATCTGACAAGTGCGTCATGCATTTGTATCCTGAGCCAGAACTTGGTTGAACCATTTTCCACTGAAATTACAGCCGTAAATCTATCAGGCTATATTTCTAACAGCATTGCATGTCCAGGGACTGAAATGTATGCCTTACATTCTTTGCAAAAAAAAAAAAAAAAAAAGCTCCACCATGGTTAAATTTGATGGGGAGTGTTTGTGAACACCAGTTATGAATGCGCTCTAATCCGACTCATTTCTCTCGAGCTATGGCTGTTTTTACGATTGTTATCCAACTGGATGTTTTTTCCTGAATGTATTTTGTCAATCCTGGCAGAGCATCATGTCTCTGCTAATAAAATGCAACCCCCCCCCCCAGCATGACGCTGCCACCTACATATTTCTACCATAGCGAGGTTGTGCTCAGGGCGATGTGGGCCAACTTACCACCACACAACTTTCATTTTGATCTCATCTGACCGGGCGCTTTGTTTCACATGCAAGGGGCAAAAACATGACAGATGGGAACTTTCAATAACGTTCTGTTCTTCCACAAAACATACGCATGTCCAATGCACGACTGAAGGCAGGAGTGTTGACAGATTCTCCTTCTTGAACTGGGAATCTCTGCAGCTCCTCCAGAGCCTTTTGGCTGCATTATGATGAATGTTGATTAATACACAGATGGACTATTTATTAACTGGGTGACTTTTGTGAGCATCAATGTACAGAGGAGGAGGGAGTGAGGACAAAATGCATGCCACACTTTTTAGATTTTTCCTCAATAAAAATAAAATAAAATCACGTATTTTCCTTCCACTCCAGAATTGTGCACCACTTTCTGGTGTCTATTATGTGAAATCCCAGGTAGATGCACTAAAGTTTGTAGTAATAATGAGACAAACAGTGAAAAGGTTCAGGTGTCATGATTATGTCTGCAGGGTGCGGTCACTATTTAGGTTTAGTTTGATAGTAAACAACTAAAGGATGCAGTTAAAACTATGAAATTATTCAGCTTCACAGAAAGCATCAATCTTAAACATAAAGTATTGGTTGGCAAAATATTAAATAAGACTTTTACAACTGAGATGAACCCCCTCCTCCAACAATAATCCGCTGGTTTTCATGTGCTCTATAAACCACTGAGATTAAAGGAGATTATGCGATACCAGGCATCCCCATCTTAAAAACAGCACAAAGATGAAACCGTGTGAAGCTGCCGCTCTGAGAGGGTGGGGTTGTTATGTGATGTAGCAAGTCAAAGACTACACCAAGCTCTGCTTTTTATTTCCTCAAAACGCTAACCACCACATTTCATCATCTGTCAACCAAAATAAGCATCTTGGGTGAGAGTCTGAAGATCTAAATAAGCACATCAAACCACGTGACTGTAGACGGTGGCTGAACAGACTGAAAAGGTCATGCAAACATCAAACTGACTCAGTATCAAAGCAAAGGCCTTTAGAAAAAATAGAATGTGAAATGAGTGAATGTTCAGAAGGGTGCAAACAAAAACGGGGACAAAAATCAAACCTCATGCATTAACTAAGAAGTTTAGCTGGAAAATTTACTGACACTCATCTTCAAGAACTAAACTTAAGCTGAGAGCTACTGAAACCTTCAAAATCTGGTTCATTACATTTGGATACGAGAGTCTATGTTTTTGGCCAAGAGAAACTGCAAGCAAAGGAAAAATCCCTCCTTCCAGAAAAAAAGAACAATGACGGTACATACAAACACATCTACTCAGTAACAGGCAATGAGAGGAAAAAGTGATGAAGAGAAATCTACCTCTTTCAGAAGGTTTTGAAATGTGCTTTTGTTTGATAGTGTCTGGAAGAGAGAAGAGAATCAGAGGACAGCACAGACAGAAGCTCAGAGAAACAGAAACAGTCGGTCAGCAATGAAAGCGAAACCGCTTCAATAGAGGGAAGAAAAACAGCTCAAGAGGCACAGATTCTCAATTTGAAGACAGCAAAGAGGTGGCGGGAACCAACAGAACAGCAACAAGAAGCAGCAGAACTTTAACTAGCTTTGTTACGGGATTACTGTCGCATGAGGACTCACTGTCACAGGCGTAGGGCTTGTCCCTGTCCTCCAACGCTGCCGTGTCCAGCTTCTTCCTGCCGCTACCCACTCCTCGACCCTGCGGACAAGGCTGGAGTCAACTCAAAGTCCAGATAAATGAAGAAAAAACACTCAGTTCACCTTTACCTTCCCTTTCCCTTTGCCTCTTCTTTTAGGCGTGTCTTCCTCGTAGTCTTCGTCATCCAGGTCATCCAGGAAGTCGTCTGGCTCGAGGATTCTCTATGTTGAAGAGAGGAAGAGGGTGGAAGATAAATAGAGCCCAGGTTGAGCATCTCATTTAGTGTCGGCAGTAAATGAGATGTCGGGAGTGAGAACAGGAACCTTTCTGATCCGGGTGGCGGGGTTCAGGCTGCCGGTGTAGTCGCTCTGATTGGAGTCTTCCTCTGACCCCCGGATGTCCACCGGGGTCCGTTTGTCCAGAGGTTCCCCCTTCAGCAAGGCCTCCAAGCTGCTGCCATCCGAAGACAGCAGGACGTCCTTCTTCAGCCCCAAATCTATTTCTAGGAGTAAAAAAACAGATCGAAACAGAAACTTCTTGATACTTTGCTTTGATGCTTCAACATGAAAGTGATTTTTTTCCATCATAAACTAAGTGAGGTATCCTGCAGCTTTACCAGACATGTTGTTGAAAACCTAATTAAACCGAGAGCAAGTCGAGTTGAGCTCGTTGCCGTGGTACCTGACTTAACAGGAGGGAAGATGAGGCGCGGGTCTTCTGGAGGGTGAGATCTCCGTTTCTTCCTCCACCTCCTGGCTGGGTACGTGTAGAGCTGACCCGGAGCCATGCCTGAGGAGAGGAGAGCACGTCACTGACCCGTCCAGATCGATGGACGGTCGGCAGGCTGATGGAGGCACTCAGACTAAATGACTCAGCAGTGGCTTCCTTCCTAATGGAAGATACCATATCTGATCTCGGTGTGTTGAAGTTGTCTCTTCGTAGCATTCAAAAGGAAATTAAAGCTGGCAACTCCTGCTGCTGACCCAGCTACAGCGCCTGGCAAAAGTATTTACACCCCTTAAGCTTCTCATTTTCTTACTTTTATAGCCACAAATGATATAACTCTAGCTCAAAAGGTTTACAAGTTTTTTGGGTGTATATCTCTCTGATCAGCTTTATTGTCCTTGCTGAACAAAAGTATTCCCACAGAATAATGCTGCCAAGAGAACCGCTTAACATTTTTACATATTTCTTCCATTAAAGCCACAACTGTAGCAATAACTAGTAGTTACGACGTCAACTGATTCTCGATCCTGACCTCTGCAGATCATGAATTCCATACAAAATGCTGAAATAGAAGTTTGTGGTTGTTAGGAGAGTAAATGTGGAAAAGATGAACAGGTAGGAATGCTTCTGCAAAGGGTTTACATCTCCTTAGACTTCTACTTCTTACAAAGGGTGGAAGGGCTCAGAATGGACTTTTGAAATCGGTTCTCATTGTTGCAACTGTGTGACAATAATCGAACATTTCACCCCCTCTCCATTGGAAGCCATTGTGCGTTTGGTCTGAATTTTGTGGGTGTGTTTGTTTAAGTGGAAAACACCAGGATGCTGCTGTAGAGGGAGATCGGTTTAGTGTGTTTGTGCGAAAACAAACATCCGAAAACCACCTGACTGCGTGTCGACAGTTCAACTTCGGTCTGATTGTGTTAAGCTCTGTAAAATCTCTGAGAGCAAATCTGGAGTATTACCAGGACCCCGGTGTCTCTTCTCCATCCAGATGTAGCAGTTGCTCTGAGCCACGCCGGTCTGAGAGTCCAGGAACGGCATCCGAACACTCCTCTCAGCGCACAGCCTGGCGTTGTAGTTGTGACACTGCTCCAAGGCATCTCTGTAGTATTGCTCTCCCAATCTGAGCAAAACAGCAAGTTGCAAGAAGTTGAAATATTAAATTCATAAGGAAAAATCCAACAGCGGTTTGGTGCCACGAGTCATTTCTAATAAAAAAAATAAAATAAGTGTGTGTGTGTGTGTGTATGGGTAGGAGTTCAGCCTCATCAGTGTTTCCTGAGGCTCGTCTCACTGCTGCACAAGCATTTTTTTTACAGTGGCAGCGAGAAACAGTTGGCGACATTATCTAAAATGATCACAGTGACAGGCCGGCCGCAGCAGCTGGGCCTCAATCAAGACTCCAAGGTCGACAAAGTCAGACCAAGTTATTTATGAACACTCTTAAAGGGAACTCACTGACTGACTCCTAACAAAATATGGATAAAAGGGAAAATCAAGGAAAAAGCATTAGAAATATACAGCTGTAGTTACGACTCAGTCTGGATTTATTACTTAAACAAATTAACTCAAACAAGCTCTGAGAATGTCAACTGTTAGTGAGGTCTAAATATCAGAGAGCTGGGTTTTTATCCATACTTCCTACTTTGTAGAAGAATTACAAGCAGAGTAATAAAAAGTTGGATCTGCGACACAAACTAGCCAAAAAGTTTTGCAGGAACTGAACTGCAGTTGAGCAAGAGACTGGCCACTACCCAGCTACCGGCATTTCAGCGGTCGAGTCTACTTCCTTAAAGTTACTCCAGTTAAAGACAGAACCTAACCGTACCCAGCAGCCCTCCAGTGGAAAAAGCTGACAGGAGTATTTATTTGAATATCAATCATACAAAAAAAAAAAAAGTTTCCAGTAAGAGAATGTCACTGCTCAGTTCAGAAAACTGAGTCATGAGCTCAACATTTAAACTGCATCTCAGTATTTACTTCCAAAAAAATCTGGTGCTGAAGAATGTGACCTGAGAATACAGTGAAATGAGTCAAATTTAACCATTTACTGTCTGTGCCAGTCATAGATTTACATATGACGTATTGTTTCTATTAATATATTAAAGTTCTATTGTGGATAAAAGTCTCTTAGTTTTTGTTTTTGATAAAGCTTCTAGCATTATCCTTTGACCACTGTTCTTAGACTTAGTAGGGCTCATTTTAATTGGTTGGTTTTCCGGCAAAGACTTTGCTTTGAGGATAATGTCATGGTCAGAACAGAAACAGTTTAATCTAAGCTAACTTTACCCATTTCAAAAGATTTTGGATCAATGTCCAATTGGTACACCCAACTTTGTTTCAGCCATGGGATCCAAACTGTCACCCTCAATGGCAGATTTGCTAGGTTGACGAAGAACAACCACAAAATGACAAAGGTTTAAGTCTAACCTGAACAGGAAGTGACAACAGCACCATACTCTACAGAAAGGGCAATTTAACATCAACATGAACTGGGAGTACAGGGACCAAGACAGAAATGCTTGACATATTCAAGCTTGAATGAAATGTGGTGCTTTCTTCTGGAGAAAAAGGTTTGAGTTATGATGCTAAAATGACAAAAATGAAGTTTGGATACGTTGAAGTAAGGACACTTACCTCAACCTGATAGTCTTGTTCTACTACCAGTGCTACTGGAATGTTGCACAAATGAATGGTATAATAAATAATTAATTCAAATTAACATTAAAATTAGGACCCGGTTGTTCCAACTGGACAATGATCGTAAACACAAAACAAAATTGCTTGGAATGGATAAAACATTCCAAACAATATTTTATCTTTAAAAACAGTCCTGACTGCAACCCTATGGAAAATGCATTAGTTATGCTAGTAGAGGAAAACCATCCCATTTAAATACACTTCAAAGATAGCAAGAAAAGAAATAATATATGTAGCCAAAAATATGTTATGTCATTTGATTTCTCTGCCACTTGTTAAAGTGGATTAAACAGAATGTTACTAATCGAGATTCAGGGTTTCCCCCAGTGTACTATAAGCCTGGCGGGCCACCAGGCTCTACTTGCGCCCTCACCAGGCTAAGCATTGCTTATTTAGTTAAGTATTTTAAAATGTTTGCTTTTATTAAGACTTTATAGTTGGTGTTCAGGTATTAATCGCCAATGTTTCAATAACACATAATCATCAAGTGACATTTTTAATTTTCCTGCCAACTTTAACCATTTTTAACTCAAAAACATAATAAATGCTGGATGAATGACTGCCCTGACACCGAACCACCTGGCTTAGTAGATTTTCTGGGGGAAAACCTTGGGATTGATTAAGAAATTATAACTTGTAGATTAATCCACAGTTTATTAAAACTCATGCACCTAATTCTTGTTTTTAAAAGTTTATTCAAGCTATAAATTGTAAACCCATTCCACCTTTCAATAACTATTTAAATGACTCCTTAAACCATTAAAATCGATCTCAAATGTATGCTTATAAGTGTATGGAAAGTTTGACAGGAGCTGGTGAATACAAACATACATTTAAAAAGTTATCAAAGCACGTTTTACATATTTTCTAAACATTGCCGAGGTTATTTGAGGACATGTGTCGGTATGGCGTGTGTGTAATCTCAGTTAAAGGCTTGTAATTAGAGTCTAACATTAACCAGGGTTCAGGCTGCACCGCTGCATCATGAGGGAGACGGCGGAAATGGAGGAACGTTTGAGCTCACGCACACGCCTCATCTAAGCAATAAACTTTGCACCTCAAAAAGAGTTGCAGTGATCTGAACTAAAGCGTGACAGCTACAGAAGCGTCTAAGCTTTCAAAATTAAAGAAAACAAACTTCACCGCCAGTGTTTCATTCATCAAAACCTAGTCGGCCAGTTGTCATAAACAGCGTTGGACTCTTTAGCTTGTTAGCGTGCGAGCCACCTAGCTGCGTCGACCGTTTGACCACAAGAACGTAACAATTAATAACACCGACGCTACAAGGAAACTTCACACACGTTTCTCAACACATGTTAGTGACTCGTGTGTGTAGAAAAGTATAAGTTGCGTGTCGGCTAACTTCCACTTCCATTCCAGGATGTAAAAAGACAGACACGACGCTTCGACAGCGTTGGCTAACCGCACTAAAACAGAATGCTCCCAAGCTAGCTGGCGAAAGAGTCGGTGAATGAGTAACTATACAAACATAATAACGTGACTGAGGTGAGCGTCACCTTTATAGGTATAAAATCTGCAAGGAAGTCCAGTACTTACAGTTTGACAACATTCTCAACAACAGCTGCCATCTTGCTTTAAAACACGGGTAAAAGTGCCTGCCGGGTAATGAGTGCCCCCTGTCTGGACTTGTAGGCAGATGGAGCAGAAGCTTGAATTCGTGCGGCTCCTAGTGGCGAATAGGTGTCACTGCAATTATTTGGATGTTTAGTTTTTGTTTTGCTTTTTTTTTTTTTTTTGTCCCAATTGGAGTTTCGGCAATGACGGCAATTAAACGGTTTCGTATTTTATCACATTACAGCAAAAGAACAAAAAAAGAGTTTATTGGGTTTATTGGGACAATGAAGGAGGTGTCCAAATTTTGTTTTACCTGTAGGATATTTGCCTCCCTCTGAAGGTTTCCATGGGGATTTTGGCTGCTTTTCTGTATAGTGTCCACCTTTTACGTTAGGTGGATTGCATTGCACTGTGTATATGTAGTTTTGACTGCTGAAATTTATGTTGTTTTTTTTCCTTTCGCTTGACACTTATAAACTATTTTTTGTGGAATCCTAATATAGACATTTGTGGTTGTTAATGTTGAAAAATTAAACACTAGTCTGAAGAATCTCAGTTTGGGCATCCATTTAATCCCTCTTTTTAGTCTGGAACATAAGAAGCCATGTGAACCAGCATAAAAAAAAACCCTCTTCACAAAATAAAAAAAAAAAAAGAATCCCAACCACCTGTGTTGATTAAACCGTTTTATTATTCCTAATATTAGATGTAGATACACAAGTCAACAAACAGTATTTTTGATTTGTAATGAAAATGCTCCACAGCACACTGACATCGTGTGGAAGAGTCTGGCATTACAGACACGTACCTGAAAAGAAAATGGGACAGCAGTTGTAATTTTTGCAATAAGTTGCATTAGTAACAGTAGTAGTAATAGTAACAACAGTAGCAATAATGGTCATAAGAGCAATTAATACAAGTAGTGGTATTAACAACTCTGAATTACAGAGGAAGGAACAGACATTTGTCAAAGGTACTGAGAAATGAGAGAAGAAAAGGTTTATCAAATGCTGCAAGACAGACCACTGGATGAAAAAAATACAAGCTCCCATTGGACAGCAAATATTCAGCATTCTTCTGAAAGAGGAAGCTCAAACTGTCAGCAGTCTATATTCAACCACATCTAATACTTAACATGTAAAAGCTGTTTTTCTTCATCGATACCAGTACTCTTCGATCCAAAAACCTGCTTGACATCAATAATGCATACTTTTTATGTCCTGGTCAAAGCTCACCAGTAGCACAAAGTTATATATGTTTTAGAAAGGATGCAATATGCAACATCAAATCATAGCCAGTTGAGGACATTCCCACAAGACTGGAGTACCAAAGTCGTATTAATATGAGTATGTGTGATACAGAGCCTGTGTACAGTACGTCAAGTATGAGTTAAGCTTCACTTGACCAATTTGGCCAAATTCAGTTGAGTTCATTCACATTCAAACGAGCCAGTATGAAAATACACTGTGCGACCTCTGAGCTGGAGCTCGGCAGCATCAATCGGATGCGGTATTAAATGTTGGGAGAACGGGTAGCGCTGGGAGTCTCACCAGCTTGTCCACCGGGGAAGAACGACGCCTCTCTTCCAATTTGTGCCAATTGCGTTGGCTCACGTAATGCATGTTATGTGGTTCTTTATTGTGGCTTAATTTCAGGCAACCTAAACTGAAACTGAAAGCTCTGTCATGCCTGGAATATTCAGTCCTACAGATAGAAACAGGTGTGCTTTATATCGTTGGGGCTGCCTGCTCTTAAGTAATCTGCATTCAAAAGGAGTTCAGGGAATTCCTTTATCTAAACAGTCCTTGTTTGGACAAGGAAAAGAAAACCATTTGGCTTAAAAGGTGAAAGTTGCCTCTTTGCCATTTTGTACCCCCACTTTGTACCTACATGTTGCCATTTCATTTCATTCCATGTCATACCAATTATCTTTATTAATGATTGGGACAAATCACCATGAAGTCTACTCTTCACAAAATGACCAGCATCCCTTTCGAGATGATTTGTGTGACCAGCCTGCGGTGCAGATTGACTAGGCATGGGGCGGTTAGCAGTCTCAAGATGCATCAAAGTGAAGAGAGAAAAAAAAAAATCTAACACCTTCCTTTTGTTTACAAAAGACAAAAAGGATTTTTGAAAATAACCCTACCTGCAAAACAGAGTCATGGTGTGAAAATGGACCTTTTTAAAACTACAGCTGAGCAGCATGTCTGTTAAGCAGCCTACTGCAGGCTAGCTACCAGAGCAGGTAACCAGACTAATTAACTAGCTAATGGCTCGTATTGCTCTATAAAAACCAAGAACAGTAAAAAACTATAATATTCTCCACGGTAAGCACTTGAAAACTACTAACAATAAGACAATATTTCATATGCTCGTTTTAAATGTTGGTTGAAATTATGCGATACCCTAGTATTTTTAACTCGGATTAAAAATACCAGCCCATGCCTAGGTGTGACATCCATATAGGTAAATACTTTTACAAGTCATGCCACTCAAATTTGTAGGGGTACATATACTGTTAAAAACAAAACAAACGACAACAAAAAAAAAAAAAAAACACACAAATTGCAGCTAACGTCTTAAACTGTTTACTTGGTTTCATGTACGATCAGGTGCAGCTATGAACAATTGTGTAAATTTGTACTAATGTCTACATCCTGTAAAGGTCCTTTTCATAAATTATATTTGAGGAAACTATCACCTAGTATTTGCTTACATTTGCTATGCTAGAGTGAGTTTTTCCCTTTTATCTCCCAATTACATCTAATTGTTGCATCTAGTCCTGATTAAGAGCTGATGTTTCCAGAATAAATTAACATATAAAGTAGATGGTAATCCTCAGATACGTACAATAATCAGCCCACATCGTCATGCCATATATTCAAATTAAAAAACAAAAAAAGCAAAAATGTTCATTAAACTAACTCCAGGACCGTTTTCCTCAGTAACTTGGCTGCTTGTAAGCAGAGCTCCTCATGGTCGCCATCATTGCATCTAGACTAATAATCCACTGACATACATTAGGTCATTGCCACAGGGCACATGGTTAACATTCACTTATTTGTACTAAGAAAACTTTAAGACCGTTTCGAATGAAGGGTGTGTGTTTGTAAAAAGGGATCAGAATAAATGTAGTGTGTTCAAGTAAAGGTCAGGCTCATGTCTGGTTGTAGGAGAGCACCGAAAAGCGTCTTCATCAATGCCCCTCCTGTCTCACTTCCACTCCCCTCGCTTGGAATGAAATCTGTCCTTCAGTCCTGCTCTCATCACTGCAGTCTGCTGCCACAAAATGTGCTTCAGCTTCTCATCTGCAAACTGTCCCCAAAGCTTTCATTTTGGCCAAAACAACGGAAAATAGTTTAGGAGACTAAAACAAAGAGGAGTAAAATAATGTCTAGAGGAATGTTACTGGTTGCAGCTACTGTAAAGCGAAAGGAAAAGTAACATTTTCAGAAAATTACTCCAGTGATAGTTTGCTTGTGTCTGGTTTTCGAAAAGCAACATCCATCTGACCGTATTTAATCAGGAACAAATAAACATGCAAAATCCACAGCACCACAACTCACACACGCTCACACTAGAAAACTAATCTCTGCTTTATGAAGGAAAAGAAAAACGTCAAAAATCAAGCAGAAAATATCACTCAAAAGAAATAATCAAATGCAGGCAAAATTGGAGATAAACAAGAAAAAAGAATTATCAGACCACTAATTAAATATATGTATATATAATTTTCCCAGTGGTACCTGTGATCATTTAACGCACACGGCTAAAACTCGAGCTTTATTTTTGTTGCAAAACACCTCATAAATGTTCTGTCCTAAAGAGAAAAAAAAAATACAAGGGCAAGACCAACATTCTCCACTAGTTGAACCAAATTTGTTTCTCTCCACAACATAAATCAAGTCATTAGCTAATTAGTTTTCTTCTCAAACCATACATTGCAAAAGATAAATATTAATGATAATATTAATCAAGTTACTAACATCAACATAAAAACAAACGGATGTTATCGCCCCCAAACAAAAGAGAGAGCTTGTGAGGAGTGGGGAAAAAAAAAAAAAAAAAAAAAAAAAAAAAAACACGATCCGCAGTTTTCCTGGAGACTCCGTCCGCTGGGAGTCACTGTGAGACGATTCCTGCAGACGACGAGCCGCTTCAGTCGTCTGACCTGTTCAATCCAGCTGATGTTACCGACTAACAAGCTTGTCTGACGCTAGTCTGGGGGATAAATGTGAATAGTAAGTATGGATTGGGAGAAAATAAAGTAAACAAGAAATTAAAACGCTGAGGGGGACAAACAGAAAAGGAAGTCAAAAAAGGATCCCAAGTGACAGATCTGTTGGCAATTCCTCGGGTCCTGCATGGGGAGCAGTGCGTCTGTCTGACCTGTGTGTACCTTTCCGTCCGCCTGCCTCAGTCTGTGAAATTTTTTTGATTTTGGATGTTTCCATTTACAAATGTCCTATTTCTTCTTGCCAAAGAAGCTGAATCTCTTCTCACGATCCTTCTCTTTTCCCTCTTTGTTGCGCATGGTTACGCCTTCTCCTGAGCTGGGCGAGATGGGGGGCATCGTCATGGCGCGGCTGAGTCGGGGCGCCCCCGGTGAGTCCCCTGCTCCTGATGGGATGGAGCCAGCGATGGACTGAATCCAGGAACTCATTTCCGCCTTAAAAAAACAAAACAAAACAAAACAAAAAAACAACAACAAAGTGTTTATTATACCTCATCATTCATTTTACTGCAGATGCAGCTTTAAAATGACAAGTCTGTACATCTCACCTCATCCTTGGCTTGGAACAGATACTCTTTCCCATCTCCTAGCCTGCAGACACATGAAACAGGAAAAATGACTCTTGCACTCATTTATTGATACCAACAGGTGAATTTGCTTTAAATTATTTTACCCTCACCTGAGCTTGAATACGTGTTTCCTCTTTTTATAATCGTGGGCTACTTCACACACAGAGCCATCCAGCCCAATGGGAACCTCTCCATGGTATGGGATGCCATTACTGGCACTCTTGCTGTCTTTATAAAAACCCAGACTCCCTTTTCTAAGAACGCAGTACA